AACCTCTGCACTTGCTTGGGGATTAGGGCACAGCTCAGTGGGAGAGCACTTCCCTGCCATGTGCAGTCCTGGGTTTAATCCCCAGCCTTGCAAGGTAAGAAAAACACAATGTGACAATATAACAATAAATAAATACAGTTCTGATGGGTATTTTTCACAGCTGTATGGTTTTCAGCTCTCTTTCTAGGATCACCTCTGGTTACTGGTGCTTTTCTAGGAATTGGCCTGTTTTATCTATTGAAGTTTTCAAGTTCTCACAGGCATCAAACGATCCCTGTGTGCCCCAGGTTTCTATTTTGGTTGGCCGTTTTGTCTGTAACCACCTTTCCAGGCTTCACTGGCCTCACGGGCGTCTTTCTTCTTGCTCCATCTCTCTCAGATTTTTCTACTTCAAAGAATAAACTTTGACGCCTCTGTTCTAGCCTCGGAGCAATTCAGCTTGGTCCTCTGTGAACATGCACTTCTGTGAACGCGTGAGCAAGCCAAAAGTGACACGAAGAAGGGAGTGGCCACGGCTCCCTCAGGTAAGAGATGCTCTGTTCGGCCAGGGTTCTGCCCTCATCCCCGAGCTGTTTAAAATCTCTGAGACCCAGGTCTTAGGTTGATCGACCAGAAGCAGCATTACAGGCTGATGCGGCTGAGGCCACTCTGCAGACAGCTCTGAATTGTAAATGGATTTAACTCCTGTCTTCTCTACAGAATGAACACGTGTGCAGCAGGCTTCCTATTCCTCGTAGATCCCACAGGACAAGATTTCCTCTTGTTTTGGTCCCAGTTTGTTTATTAAGGAAGATGGGTCATTTACTACATCTGAAATCCTCCCCAAGAATAAACCTCAGGCATACTACACACACACACACTCATACGTACACACTCACACACACGTTCTCTCTCACACACATTCATACACACACATACACATACTCTCTCATACATATATGTTCATGCATACACTCACACACACATGCTCTCACACACACTCATACGTACATACTTTCACATGCACACATGCTCTCCATCTCTCACACACGCATGCACACACACACGTGCAGCCACACACACACATGCTCTCACACAAGTGCATGCACACAGTCACACATACACTCACACACATGCTCTCTCCCCCCACATATATGCACATGCAAGTGTATGCATGCACACACAGACACACAGGGCAGAGAAAGCAGGAATAGCTATTAGCACATTCTTCCATGCAGGGCGGAAGCTTTCCAAAGCCGCTGCTTCTCTGTTAGAGACTACAAAGCATTGTGATGGGGAGCTGGAATGTTGCAGAATGAAAGCCAAATTACTCTGGACTATCAGGTTCTTTAGATAAACGGCAACTTACCTTTAACACTCATGATCGTTGCTAAGTTTAGCAGCTTAGCTTCCATCAACCCGAATGCTAAGCGTACTCTACGAATGTCTGAAACCTCTAGAAAGACTTCCTTCCCCATTGCCTGTTGCCCACCGACCTGAGAATCCACAACTGATTTGCTGAATCACTGATGTATGGCTCTCTCTTGCCCATTGGCAATACCAGTGCATGTACTCTCTCTCATGATGGAGCAGGTCATTCCATAGCGAATGCCATCTTGACCTTGGTCACTCATCTTTGCCCCAAAATAGACTATATTCTTACTCACTTTAAAGCAAGAGTGAAATAAGTTCTGCTGATTCAGGTGAAGGAGGCCTCATAGCCTAAAACAATGTGAGGAGTCAAGTTTGAAGCATCGGCAGAAGCATAACCAGATCTGCACAGGTTTCCGGTGGTTGTATTTAACAGTCCTACTTCACGAGGCTGGGACCAAAACACATTGTAAGAGGTACCGAATACCTCAGTAGTCTCCAATGGCACATTCTCACACGGTACCAATACCCAGGACATTCAGAGGCTTTTGCAAGATGCAGGGGCCGCACACGCTGCCAGAACAGCAGAGAACTGAACTTAGACAAGAACAGCTATGGCAACAGGGTCAAGGCCAACAAACTGCAAACTGTGGAAATGGAATGAGGCATTGCAGCCCTGAGCATTCTGCTGGGGCGTGGTCCTACTGTCTCTGTGATTTCTGTCTGCTCCAGGAGTCCCTGGGACAAGATGGAGAGGATGGTGATGGGAGAGAGCCATGTAGAGGTTCGTGTCTTAGATCAGCACCACCCACTGCTCTGCCCTTTACAGACCCAGAGGGCCAGGGTGGACCACAGACATACAGTACATCTGGCAGCCACATGCCTGGTCTCCTGAGTGCAGCACCTGCTCCGAGAACTGAGCCCAGTCTTCCCCTTGCCTGGCACCCTCAGTTACAGCCTCTTTCCCAGGGAAGAGAGAAACCGAGATCTCCAAATCCCGGGTAGCTCACTCCACTGCATCCAGAACGTGCCTGGACACTGTTCTCCCCTTACCCAACCCATGTCTCCTACTTGATCCAGGGACCTTGGATTCCTGGTCCTCGGGCTTGCTGTGGCTCAAGACCCTCCCCGAGCAGCCATGCACGAACAGTTCAGCCTCCTGATCTACCCTGAGCTGAGAACACAGTAGGTCTTCGTAAGCCGTACACACTGTGGTGATCCACTGCTGTCCTTGCCTACGCTCCTCCCCTGAGGTTCCACCAGCTCAGACCTTCTGAAGGCTCTTCTACCACTCCCTATTGATGATGCGGAACCACCTACCACCACCGCCATCCAGTCCATGGGGACTGGAGGTCCCCTCGTCGGCCTTCCTCACCCATAGGGCTTCAAATGGCCTTGATCCTGAGGCTGCTACAAAACCAAGAGAGGTGATGCATTCAAGCAGCGACACTAGTCAAAAGAGCTAAGACAGGAAAGCAGCCTCAGTGACTGCCAGTGGCTGGAGGGATATGGAATGTGAATATTATTCAGCCATGGAGTAGGACACAATCATGCCATCTGCAAAATGAATGGGACCAGAGGTCATGAGGCTGAGTTAAATAGACCCGTGCCAGACACCGGAAGACTATATACTGTATGTTCGCGCTCATACACAGAAGCTAAAATAAGCCAACACAGTGTAGAATAGCAACAGCCAGAGTATGGGAGCAGGGTTACAGATGAAGGTTGGGTAATAGGTGCCGAAGCACAGCGAGGAGTATATTCTGGTGTTCCCAGCAGGGTGGAGTGGCTTTATCACAATCTACTGTGCATTTTAGGAAAAACTAGCAGAAAAGAGTGCAATGGCCAGGAAGGAAATGTTAATTGTCCTGAGTTGATTGGTGCAAACTGCATGTGCATGCTGAAATATCACACTGCACCTCTAAATTAGCATACCTGATTAATACATACTAATCAAAATAAAATTAAATTACAGATAAGTAAAAATAAAATTACCTCCATAGCCTTAAAGAAAAGCTAGGAAAGGAAAAAGGCTATAAGCAAGGAGATCAATAGAAAATGCAGGGAAAATAAGAGAAAAATAAAATCAGACAAAAGCCAAGGACGTAGGAAAACACTGAGCAGAAGATAAAAACGAGAGGCAGCCATGGGCTTCTTCACAAACATACACGAGCACAGCCCACACTGAAGCCTGCTGCTCCAGCCCTGCAGGATACTGTTAGCTCTGAGACAAGAAGATTTCCTGAGGATTCACTTCTCGACCTTGTGAAGCTAATAAAGCCAAGGGCAAGCTGAGCACGGTGGTGCATGACTACGCTTCCAGCATATGGGAGGCCGAAGCTGGGAGATGAAGAGCTCAAGGCTAGCTTGGGCTACATAGCAAGATCCTGTATCCAAGATTTAAAAAAAAAAAAAAAAAAAAAAGCCACATTCAAGAAATTCTTACAAAATACCATGGAAATCTCAATACCAGTATGATGACTCTAGAAGCCAAGGAAAAAGCCTGTGAAGATGTCTGATCCACATATTCATACATATATAACAATATCCATACGCACATGGACATGCACACATGCATGCACAAATGCCTACACATGGATATACACACAAACACATATACACATACAGACATTCCCACAGCTCCATATGCACCCATGTGTACAAATGCAAATGCACAGACATCCACCTATACATTTCTACAGACCCATGCACACAAACACACACCACCCTCCACATGCCCATCCATGTGTCCGCGCACTCATTAGCACACACGGTCTAAAAATACTTATGTGATTTATTCTTCAATTAGATCCAAACTTTGCTATAAATACTACATTGCATTACAGTGTCTAGACATTCGAAGAAATGTTTTAAAATTAACAGTGGGTGTAATAATATCTTTTATTGATAAGGAAGGAAAAAACGGTTGAGAAGTGAGTACTCTGTCCATAGCCTGAACACCCACTATGAGACTTTAGCAAGAGGTACACAGAGTGCCTGTGAGCCCCAAGCCTAGATAAGACTCTGGCTTCTTCTAGCAAAGGCACCCATGGTGTACCAAGCCTCACTCCTAGGCTTCCTTGAGTCACTCTTACTCACCCAATGGACTCAGTTTCCTCCCTCCACCAGACAAGGACACACAGGTGACGAACCACAGGTGACAAAGGGGCGGATGTGGGGTGCCCTCCTAGCCCACTTCATCTGCAGAATAGGGTGACAGTTACACTGTCTCACAGGAAGGACACTGAATGTCTAAGAGCAGAGGGTCAGGGCCAGCTGCACATTCATACTCAGCTGAGGTGTGCCCAGGACCCATCTCACCCTCCCCTCCCAAGCCTGGTTCATCACACTACAGATGCATCAGAAAGATAAGAGACGCCCATATGCCACCCCATGGCCATCCACGACTTACAAGTAGTTCAGAGAAGCAAGCCCCGGCTGTCTGTTCATCACATCCTCTCTTCCCCAGACACCACCACAAAACACTGAGCATTACAACCTTGCCCTTAAAGGGTAAACTGAGGCTCACGGTGAGAAGAGGCAGGCACCCTACAGCCACAACTGCCCTTAGTCAGATAATGTCGAAATCCAGCAAAACTGGGAGAGAGACAGAGGTGACCGAAGGACCACCTCACACTGAACACACTGACCTGCTTCTCGTTCTCATCCTCCAGCCGCAGTCGGTCCTCGATGCAGCTTCGAGCCTGCAGAAAGGCCTTCCTCTGTGAGCGCTCCGTCAAGATGCGCACGAAGACGCCATACATGTTCACGCCCACGAAGAGCAGGGCATTGGCACCGAGCTGTAGGGAGAGAACAGTGGCAGAGTGTTGAGTTCAGACCAGTCAGGGGCAGGAGGGCCTGAGCTACCACAGAAGCCACCTACCACGGAAGCCACCAAGGGACTCTCTGTCAACCCCTTAGCCGGCAGAGTATTGAGTTCAGACCAGTCAGGGGCAGGAGGGCCTGGGCCACCATGGAAACCACCAAGGGACTCTCCGTCAACCCTTCAGCCAGCTCTAGACTCACAGACACCTAGGGACATTCAAGCCTGCCCAGACCCGCAGTGAAACACCGTGGGAGCCACACATGGCAGAAACACACTTCTGCCCTCCCAACAGACAGCGATGCCACTGCAGGTCATAGGATTGAGGGAGAGCTGCATCTATACCCTGGGCTGAATTTTATTTCCTCCCAATTTTGTATGTCAAAACATCGAGGCTGGAGACCTCAGGATGTAGTTGTATTTACAAACAGGTTATTAAAAGAGGTAATTAAAGTAAAATGAGACCATTAGGGTGAATTCTGATCCGGCCTGGCCAATAAGAAGAAACCAGGATGCAGGACTGTGAGAGACCCCGAGGAGCCAGCCATGCCCCCAACCAGATTGTAGATCCCAGCCTCCAGCACCGCTAGAAAAGACATTTCTATTATATAAACCATCATTCCCCATTCTGTGGCACTCTGTTATGACAGTCCCGTACAAACAACACACCTACAACATAAGAATATGAAATGGCTGCTTTCAACACTACATGGAACACTCTAGAAAGATTCAGAGGAGGTAAGGAGACAAAAATAAAACTCGAGTCATTGATTCGGGCACAGAGTAAACTGTAGCACAAGCAGAGTAGGCCCCGCTCTGTAAACAACCCCTTCCACCATGCCTGCCAGGCTGAGGAGGGGTCTGCGGGGAGACCGACTCTTAGGCCTTCTCTAAAGGTCAGAAGGACGCTACCTGTTTGGTTAGATAGAATGGCGGGAACTTAGCTTGTGGCCCTGACCCGGTTCTAGTCAAGACCCCACAGGAACAGAGACTTCACAGAGATTGGCCATGGCCAAAGAACTCAGCTCAGATCCCAGACATCAAGTGTGAATACCTCCTCCTGACAGTCTCTATCCCCTGCCTGTCCCAGGTCCTAGCGGACCACAGGACCAGAGTTTGTCATGAGTCACATCATGGCAGCCCCCCCAGAACAGGGGACACTTATCCAGCCCAAGGAAATGTGGGTCTGTCGGCAGCCAAGGTGTGGAATTTCTATCTGATTAACGAGGCATTCCCACTTCTACATGAGGGAGGAGGAGAATGCAGACTTGGAATGTTCTTGCTCCTCCGAGATTATCCCCAAGGAGTCGGGACATGGCTGTGCCACACTCTACACACAGCAAAGGTCGGTAAGCACAGCAAAAGCTGGAGCAAGCATCTCCTGACAGCTGCCAGGAGAGCCTGGGGAGATGTCCTAACCAGGAGTGGGCCTGAGACAGCCTTGGGACAAGATCTGCCAGGCCCTGACACTCCCGAATGCTGACTGGGAATAAGTGGGAGATCCAGCCTGGGAAACCATAGGGGACAGATCTGGGCATCAGACAGGGGTTTGGGCATCTTCAGACTCAGGTTGTGTGAGATTACATCTTTTAAAGTCAACTGAAACAAGGACCAGACCTGGGGACTCTCTTAACAAAGCACCCAAATCTCACAAGTGGCCTTGACCTGATGTGCAAGCACAGGAAGCCTGAAGCCGAGTTGTTTCTTGCAAAAGCCTTTAATAATGGAAACTACAGCCAAAGCTCAAGCAATGGAAGTAACTGTTCATTCAGAGGTTTGCTGCACGGACCTTCCTGGGGTCACATCTACGAAGGTGATGGTGGGAGTGTGGCCAGGCAAGTTCTTTGATTTGCTTTTGCCATCATCCTGTGACTACTGACACTCCAGGCTTTGTCATCGAACACTAGACCCCTTTCTGGTTTGGTACCCAGCTCCAAATTCATGAATCCCATCTGTTATAAATTAAATTATGCATCTCAAAGTCATTTAAACCAGTAGTGGTCACCTGTACCCTAGGAACACATCGAAGAGAGCATTCCCTGTGACCCTGACTTTACCACGTGACCCCAAAGGGTCTCACTGTGACCCGGAATTCATGGAACTTGCTAATGATGAGAACGAGCGAGTCCCTCTTTGTCCTCAGTCGCTAATCTCGACCCTCACCCCGCTGTGTTACTTCCTCTTGGTATAGCTGGACCCACTGACTGGCCCATGTGCTCAGCGCTACAGGCTATTCCAAGTCGTTTCACTGTCGTTAAGTACACCAGGCGATTGCTCAAGCAGGTGGTGCTCCAGGGGTTGGAAGACAGAGGCCACAGCCAAAGAGCAGAGTATGTTCAAAGCATGTGAAGTCACATGACAGGACAGCAAAGACAACTAGCGTCACCACCTCCCAGAGAAGGCAGTAGCGTTCTCTGGAAAATACGTTGTGGGGGAACCGATGGTATAGGGCTCATGGTTACTTGAGTCTAAGATCCAGGCCTGCTGTTTGTAGGGCTTGCAGAACCCTGAGCAAGGCCTGTCACCGTCTATCAAACTTTCTACAGCCACCAGACACTGGGTCCCAAAAGCAAAACTAGAACTTAGGGCTACAGTCGCATCTCTAGATCTGGACACTGGGCAGACAGGACATCTGGACCCTCAGCACATACTGGGTTGGACATCACAGCCATTACAAAGGTGACCCTGTAGGAGATGCTCAGGGCCACATGGAGATATCAATGGTATAGCCTCTCCCTCCCCTTGCCCTCAACACAGAACAAAATCCAAGGCTGAAGTGTTGAGAGACCAGGCAGGTGGTCATCTTTCAGGACAACATAGCATGCTGAGCACTAACAGAAGATGTGACCGGTCCCTGAACAGTATGGAGGTCTGCAGTAGGCCAAGGCCGGAGGAATGAGCCAGGCTAACAGCTGAGCTGGTGAGCCCCAGAGAAGGGCCTCAACAAGAGGCTACTTCCACCTTTTAAAGGAAGTGAAAGTCAGGCAGACACACCCCTTAAAGTAGAAACTACAGCAATAGCCTCCCTTCTGAGATCTGCCCACGCCGGATCTTCTTTCCTTCCATGACATCCGCTGAGAACGTGTGGGCTCAGATTGTGGGTGTGATTGGGAGTGGAGGGAAGAGGTAAGAACTGGTGCACTCACCTGTCAGTGTGCTAGGCCTCATGAACTAGCCCTTCTTCCCCACATGCACCAGAGCCCTTGTATATGGAGTGGGAAGCTGTGGGGGCTGTTAGAGAGGCTGGCTGCCCATCTCCACAAAGTACAGGGGTAGCCCTGGGAGCCCCCTGGCTTCTCGGTATCCCTGGACAGAAGTGAGAAGCTCCCCTCTCCATGTCCACTAGCTAAAAGTCTGCCCGCTCCAGATGAGAAGTATATCCAGCCACTCTGAGGATATCTAAAAGGCTGTGTCCTCAGTGAAGTCAAAATTCTACAAGATGCCGTCCTCCTGCGAGTCCCTCCAAGGGAAAGAGGTCAGTGGATCAAACAGCCTGTCCCCCACAGACAGCACTGTGGAGAAGAGTTTGTAGGGGGGAAGTGGCGCCTCAGAAAGAGTAAGGGACATCCGATAAATACCTCTCACCTGCCCAGGTCTGCCCCACCTAGTTAACCCTTGAACTCCTGCTACAAAAGCATTCAATAATGCAAACCCACACCCATGTTATCCATGGGTAGTGATTCTCAGTTCTCCCCATGAAGCTCTCTCAACTTCTGGCCAAAGCGGGAACACATTCTCCAGTACATGAAGCTGACCATGTGGCTGAGTGCCTGCTCATAATGGTAAGAGGAAGGTGGTTTAGGGTCATTGTGAGCTGACCAGAGACCGAGGAGCCACAGGCTACCGGATCTCCACAGGGGAGAGGCCCAGCTCCTATTCTACCTCCATACACCCGACAGCATCCTGACCTACGGCCGCCACTGACCACAGCAGCATTGAGGCAGGGTATGACCCAGGCTCCTTCCTGGTCTTTGTGTGTTCTCTCTGGCCGTCCTCCCAGTCATGTGTGCCCTTTTAAATTATCCCTCTTGTTCAGCTGTAACTGTTTCCCTTCTGATTCCCTCTAAGATTCTGAGTCTTGACACTGGGCTCCACAGCTCTTTCAGGAGTGGGTGTGGCAGGGTGGGTGCCATGCTCAAGGCCTCGCCACTAGTCTTGTGCTTCCAAAAGCCCCAATCTCGCCATGCACACAGGCACACTCCACACCGCACACAACGATCACGCTAATCTCACAGAATGTCATCGATATTCCTCATGAGCCCCACCCTGTCAGGCAGACATTCGCGCATGGCATGGTAGGGCTCACAGGGTCTGTGGGAACAGGGCCAGCACCAATAACTGCTCCACATTGTCCTTGCATCTCCAGCTCACTCTGTGCCACTGACCCCGTTCTTCAGTCAGAAACAATAAGGGCAAGGAAGAAAACAGGGCTTCCCAGGGACGACAACACGCGCACAATCGGCCCCTGCCTGAATGACACCCCAGTCGTGGGGGCAGACCCTGCATCCAAACCAGTGTCCACCTCACAGAAATCAGAAGCAAACTAGCAACAAGGAATCACTCACCTCCCCATCAAGATGCAGGGCAGACTGGCATCAAACCCAGAGGACCAGCTGCAAATCAGTTCATGGCCTCTCTATGGTCCCTGATTGGTGAGGCGGAACCCAAAGCAGAAGGATCTCCCAGGGACCCAGGATCCCTCTAACATTCTACACATGCAGCAGGTTCCAAGAAAGAGACCAAAAGCAACATCAACATATGCTTGCCCGGCATGCTCAAAACATCACCAGAGCCAGCTCTCAGTACAGGAGGGGGTTATGTCTCAGCAAAAGAGTTGGGGCTGTCCATGGGTGGCATGCTACAGTCAGAGGTATCGGGATGAACTTGTGTTCAGCTTAACTCAGAAGCAGATGGGCTCAAACACAATATTTACAGGAATGTGTACACTTGTGAATCTGTTGGCACTGCTGACAGAAG